TAGTGCCTCATAACAACTACACCAAGACCCACTTTTCTCAGTAAAGATTCTTTGTGCTCAGTGAGTGGAACAGACTCACTTTGCAAAGTGAAGAAAGGCAAAGGCTGGATGATGTAACATTTTTTTAGAACAAATTCCCCATTTAGGAATGGGGATATAGGAATCCCATTCTAGGAATATAGAAACATTTATTCCTAGAATGTTACTAGGAATATAGAATCAAAAATATTGAATATAGTAATATAGAATTATAAACTAGGAGTATAGAATCATGAATATTCCATCTGGAAGGGACCTTGAAGATCATCTAGCAAGCCCTTCATTTTACAGGTGAGGAAACTCAGGCCCAGAGGACTGAAGTGTCTAGTTCAAAGTCATGTTCCTAGTAGATTACTGAACTCCTCGTATACCTTCAGTGCTCCAGTTTATGAGAAAGAGACAGAGAAACAACTTTCCCTTTCACATTCTACCAACTAGAAATTCTTCGAGGTTAACAACTAGCTTTTTTGGGGAAAGGTGATAAACCCATTGGTCATTCCCATATTAATGCCTTGAGTACACTAGACAGGCAACATGTAGCTGTTTCTGTAAAGTGTGAAAGGAAGGTTTGTTTGAAACTATGTGGAGGGGAGTAGAGGGACCTATCCCAGGGAAATGCAGGTTTGCTGAGCTTGCCATTACATTTGAAAATGTCTATCCCTAAGCCCGAACTTACTACTTGTATGGCCATAAGAAAGTTACTTGATGTCTTTGAGCCTTAATTTCTTCTATCTGTGTAAGCAAGACAGTAACAATTACTTCCAAAGCTTTTATAAAATTAGATCTCATGTTGTTAAGTAAATTATGAATATAACCAAGCAAAAAGCCAGGCATTTGGTAGGTGCTCATTCAACATTATTCTTAATAAGAACTTAATTAACTTACAAGGAACTTCTAAGTTCTCCTGATGTTCCTTTCCATTCACCACTACCCCTACAAGAAATCCCAATAAAATCAAAGCAGATTTTAAGCCACTGGGCCTGAATTTCCTTATCCATAAAATAGAGATAAGATAACCTACTGCATAGAGTCATTGTGAAGATTAAATGTGATAATGTCTGTGAAAGCACTTTGTAAAATATACACTGTTAGACACATAATGGATTAAGACTGTTGATATTATCCACACCCCAATACTCCAAACTCAGTATTTTGTTTTCCAGTCTGCTTAAAATACCTTCATCTTTCCCCTCCAGTACTAACACTCTTTCTTCAATCCCTAACTTGTCTTGGTCTGGTCCAGTTAGCAGTTCCTTAGTGTTTGCTGTGTGCTCGGGTGCTGTGTGCTATGTTGTGAAGCCCAGTACCTCGGCTGTGCCAACTGTGACGTCTCCCTCCACTCAACTCCTTTATGGCATGAGTTTATTATCTCACCTGGCACTTACCACATATTGTTAGACATCTTTTTGCATTTATATATTTGGATTCCTCTACTAGATTACAGCAGTCTTCAAGGGCAAAGAAAATGTTTTAGTTTTTGTTTGCTTTTTTTTGCCAACTCCACAAGTCTAGCAGAGTACTTTGATCAGAGCAGGCTCACAGTACCTATCTGTTGAGCGATTGACCTTGCAATATTAAATTTGGCCAATAGCTTCATTTTAATTACTCTGCTTACATTAAAAATTATCATACAACTTAGTGGAACAAAACACCATTTATTATACTTGTGGATTCTATCAGTCACGAATTTGGAGAGAGCACAAAGGGAATGAATGGTTTTTTATCTGCTCCTAGATGTCAGATACTGAAAGGTTTGAAGGCTGGAGGCTGGAATCATATGAAGACTCATTTGCTTACAATTAATGATAGCTGTTAGGACTTTCAACAGGAGCTGTTGATTAGAACATATTTACATGGCTTCATCAGGTGATGAAGCTGGGCTGTTTCATAATGTTGTGGCTGCAAAAAGGATAGCTAGGCAGAAGCTGTGTCCTTTATATGACCTAACCCAAGAAATGACACAGCATCACTTCTGTCATATTCTACTGGTCAGAGAAGTCAAGAGCACACCCAGGTTCATGGGGAGGGAAAATAAACTCCACTGCTTGATGGCAAAATAGCCTGGTTCTGAGACGTGTGTAGAAGTGGAAATGCCACTGTGGCAATTTTTGGAAAATATAATCTGACTCAAGATTTTATTGCCCTAATGAACTAATACCAAGTGCTTCATTTATTATAGTGTGTTAGAGACTCTTCAGTCTCTAAATAGTCAACCTGAAATCTAGCGGTCATTTATTTTACAATTTGAGAAAAAGCAGCTTGGAAAAGACGTGGGCACAGTGACAGTGGGTGCGAGCACCCCCTTCCAGTGAATGGCAGGGTGACCGGGTGTGCAGCACAGCAGAGCCATCTGTCATATAACAGGAACTCACTGTTTTGGTAATAAGTAAGTGGTCCCATATTTGGCATTTGGCTGGACCTTTTTTTGTTCCCCCAAAGGTACCTTATCCTTGTTGATCCACAAAGCTGGCTCCCTTTGATTTTCTGGACTCAGAGCTGACCCTTTACCCCAAAGAAAAGTCTATTCCAGATATTCTCATCCTTAATAGCTTCCTGATGATTGCATGGCTAAGGCAGAGTAGACTGTTTTTCAAGCTTATATGTTCTTCATCTGTGAGAGGTTCAGGGCCCCCTCTTATCAACACTTCTCCTCTTGTAACCACCAAAAAGTAAAGAAACACAGACACAAATGGGTATGGTAGAAATAAAAGTATTACATACCCCAGAGTATGAAAAAGTAATCTGTAGTCACGTATTAGTGAAGATGGCTTCTCAACAAAAGTTGCACAGTAGAAGTTCTACACTGTCAGTTTAGTACAGAATACTTGTTCTCTTCCCAGACATGCAGCAGGCAAATCTGTGAGACAGTAAAATCTGTATTCCACCCTTCTTCCTCATGCATCTACACACACACACACACACACACACACTCATCTCCTATGAGTGTTCTTCCCTGCTCTTTGTCCAAATTTCACAGCACAGGCTATTCCATGATAGCTACTCACCCCGACCTTCTGGTCTGCTCAGAAAAGTTCTTGTGTCCTTTCCCTATAAAAAACTACATGATTTTCTCAGCTGCTCACCCAGCTTTTGAGAATCCTGAAGACAATCTGCAATACTAGTCCTGGTTAATTTGTTAATTATTCTTTCCAGGTAAACTATTTGTTATGAGGATCTTTTAGGGACCTAGATCCTCAGACTTTCAAAAAGCTGTAGCAAGAATCAGCAATATTTAGCAAAAACCTTTAAAATTAAAAACCTTTTGACCCACCAATTAGATTTCTGGGAATATATATACCAGGTAAATAACTGAATCCAGAGATGTAATGTAGATGTTTAGTGCCTTGTTACTTATAATAATTAAAATTTAGGAATAATTTGAATGTCCATAATAGGGGAATGGTTAAATACAGTAGAATATATATTAGTTAACCAATGGCTAGGAATCTACATAATGGGGTTACATGTAAATATTTAAAATAATACAATAAATATATACTATTGGCATGGAAATTCTTTGAGAATATACTATGAAATATAAAAAGCAGGTTACATAGCATAATATAGAGAACCATCTGGTCTTTGTAAATATATTTTTCATTTGTATATTTCTTAATATACAGATCCTTTCATATGCAAACGCTGGGAGGATGTACATCAAAATGTTGTGTTATAAAACCTCTGGCAAGTTTTTTGGCATTATTTTAATTTTCATTATTTTTGCTTATTTGAATTTTCTATTTTTACCCAATGATGAATATTATTTGTATTTCTTTTTTAATTAAGTTAAAAATTAAGGGTAAATCAGTAGGAAGTATATTTTAATCAGATACAGTTTTCCATTTCCTCTCAAATTTTATCCCATAATTAGCCATCCATTCTGTCCATGGGTAGTCTAAGTTTTAAGGGGTAGTAGGTAATTATTTACTGAAGTATAATAAGTACACAAATCTTATAAATCAATATGTATATTATAGTAGATACTTACTTTAAAATGAAAAAAGAACTTAATATCTATACCTAAAATAAAGAATAAACTAGGAGGAGAATTTAGGTGCCAAGATAATGTTTCTCCATTCCTCAAATTCAGAGACAAATTAAGAGACTCCCAGCCAGGCTGCGTTATGAGACTCAGTATGCTAGGGGGACAATCAACCTTTGCTGTTAAGGTAAGGACATGGAGAACACTGGATTTCCCAGAAAGTTTCTCAAGAAGAGTGAAAAATGTGGCTTAAAGAAATACTTGGATAAGCAAGTATTGGGATGAGACCTCCCAAGGGGCATGCTTAAGGCCATGTTTTCTGAAAAATCAGCTTAAATTAACTTTAGGGTTTCTGATTTGCTGACTGTTGTACAGGAACTTGGGGACAGCACTAAAGTGCTTAGACCTAAGAAGAACAGCCCAAGCTCTGCTTTCAGTGGTCTTTCTTCTATGCTTTACCCCTGCAGTGCTCAGCCTCTCCTCTGCATAAATACTCAAATATTCAAAGAAAGCTGATTTGTAGAGATACCAAATTTTTAGCCCGCCCAGAACACTCAAGTGCTTCATTCAAACTCTGAATCCAGCACATAAAGCCTCAGGGCTTAAAGTCTCACCATCAGTACTAGTACTGGAACTTCTGCCTCCATATGGCATCTTCATAGGACTATATATATAGTCATTAAGGAGCCTACTATAAAAACTCATTAAAAAATTCCCATTAATAAGACTGATACCAGAGAGTTAGAAGATATGGTATATTCTCTCCTCTTGGACTATATTCTCTCCTCTTGTTTCTTATAAGTTGTTCAAATTATTTGCTCATAATATTTTAATTGAATATAAATTAAATTTTGGTAATAATATGAGAATTACTAGAAATGTCCTTTGCAAATTGAACAGCACTCTCTAGATTCATTTGTTAAACATCTTCTAGAGCTTAAATGAGTTAGACAAGTCAATTGGTGACAGCCTATCTTACAGGTATAATGGTGGAGAGATGCACAGAGTGTGAATTTTGAAGGAAGAGGAAGATCACAGGACACAAGAGAAAGAAAGATCACTTCCCACAGCAGCGTCAGCATGTGCAGTTGTCCAGAGTCTGTTCTGTAGGGCGCCAGTTCACAGGGATGCTAGTAGGTAACTGTCAGTAAAAGAGTCTGTGAAAAAAATGTTTGGAAAACACTGGGTTAAATATCAGACAAACCCCAAATGAAGAATGTTCTATTAGAAATAAAGGAGAGGGAAGACCATGTTTCAAAAATGTCAATGCCATAAAAGATAAAGAAAGGTAGTCATGGCAGTCATACGTTGTGCCTGTCAGATCTCTTGTCAAGAAAGAACCTGCTGCAAGGAGCAGAGTTGACCTCCAGTCTCCAGCTGTCACATTTCTGTGACTCCGCATAGTCTGCTCCTAACCAGTGACAGAGCATGGAAGGAGAACTACAGCTGGGCCATTCCTTAGAGGAGTGTAGGACTCCTCTAAAGGGAAACCTTTGCTCTGGGGCTCCCAGTGGACCTTGTGATGAATCTTGTATCTTCCGTATCTTAACTGTGGTTGTGGTTATACCAATCTATGCATGTAATAAAATTGCGTAGAACTAAAACACACATACACAAATAAGTATATGTGAAACTGGAGAAATCAGAATAAGGTCTGAGAATTGTACCAGTGTCCATTTCCTGGTTGTGCTCTTGTTTTATACTTAAGCAATGTGGAGAAATTGGTGAAAGGTATTGGGATCTCTGTATTATTTCTTCTAACTAGAGAATCTCAAAATAAAAAGTATACACACACACATGCACACATAGACACTTTGATCATTCCTAATGTGTGTTAGCATTTACATTTATCTTTCCCAAAGAATAGACATATTTGTTAATGACACCAAATAAAGACAATGTCTTTACTCAGAAGAGCAGTTCCAATAGCTGGCTGCCTTTCAGTATCTCAGAAAGACCCAGGGGAAAGATACTTTTGTGCAGACAGGTTTTTTGGTAATGTTCACATCTCACGACATCAGCAGCTGCCTACTCCACCTACCCCATCTCCCTTCAGTGGATTGAAACTAAGTGTTCGCTCTCATTTATGAAGAGCTGTGCTTAGCCTTCCAACCTGGTAATGGACTATTTGTGTATTTCCCTGTGTTAAAGAACAAATCTTCAGAGAACTGTTTTATTCTAATTTTTCTTTTTTGAAGGTGAAAGAAAAGGCTTAGTCTTGAAATGTATGTCTAGGACCTCAAAGCATGAGAAATAAAAAAGCTGAATTCAAACAAGTGTGTAAAAGCTTTCTCCCTCACCCTCCTCTCAGCCACTGGGAAGGAGTAAAAGCCTTTTTTCTCTGTTGACAATCAATCAACAAATATTTACAACCTTTTCAACAAGCTTTTTCGACCATTACTAGATCATTAGAGAAGACTTCGAACTCCTTGCCCTTTAAAGGCTTTAGGGATTTAGCTGCAGAAAGATGAAACCACACACAGTTAATAGAGCTACCACTCTGTTCCCATACTTCAACCGCAGGTAGCTTTTAAGAATCAATTTGTGGTTCTGGACAAATGGGCTGGACTAGAGTGGGAACCCAGAACAGAAGCAACTGAAAAGGGAGATAAGCAATTAGAAAGTTCTAGTTGTTGTTTAGAATACTACTCGATTATATTAAAAAAAATGTTTGGAAAACACTGGGTTAAATATCAGACAAACCCCAAATGAAGAATGTTCTATTAGAAATAAAGGAGAGGGAAGACCATGTTTCAAAAATGTCAATGCCATAAAAGATAAAGAAAGGTAGTCATGGCAGTCATACGTTGTGCCTGTCAGATCTCTTGTCAAGAAAGAACCTGCTGCAAGGAGCAGAGTTGACCTCCAGTCTCCAGCTGTCACATTTCTGTGACTCCGCATAGTCTGCTCCTAACCAGTGACAGAGCATGGAAGGAGAACTACAGCTGGGCCATTCCTTAGAGGAGTGTAGGACTCCTCTAAAGGGAAACCTTTGCTCTGGGGCTCCCAGTGGACCTTGTGATGAATCTTGTATCTTCCGTATCTTAACTGTGGTTGTGGTTATACCAATCTATGCATGTAATAAAATTGCGTAGAACTAAAACACACATACACAAATAAGTATATGTGAAACTGGAGAAATCAGAATAAGGTCTGAGAATTGTACCAGTGTCCATTTCCTGGTTGTGCTCTTGTTTTATACTTAAGCAATGTGGAGAAATTGGTGAAAGGTATTGGGATCTCTGTATTATTTCTTCTAACTAGAGAATCTCAAAATAAAAAGTATACACACACACATGCACACATAGACACTTTGATCATTCCTAATGTGTGTTAGCATTTACATTTATCTTTCCCAAAGAATAGACATATTTGTTAATGACACCAAATAAAGACAATGTCTTTACTCAGAAGAGCAGTTCCAATAGCTGGCTGCCTTTCAGTATCTCAGAAAGACCCAGGGGAAAGATACTTTTGTGCAGACAGGTTTTTTGGTAATGTTCACATCTCACGACATCAGCAGCTGCCTACTCCACCTACCCCATCTCCCTTCAGTGGATTGAAACTAAGTGTTCGCTCTCATTTATGAAGAGCTGTGCTTAGCCTTCCAACCTGGTAATGGACTATTTGTGTATTTCCCTGTGTTAAAGAACAAATCTTCAGAGAACTGTTTTATTCTAATTTTTCTTTTTTGAAGGTGAAAGAAAAGGCTTAGTCTTGAAATGTATGTCTAGGACCTCAAAGCATGAGAAATAAAAAAGCTGAATTCAAACAAGTGTGTAAAAGCTTTCTCCCTCACCCTCCTCTCAGCCACTGGGAAGGAGTAAAAGCCTTTTTTCTCTGTTGACAATCAATCAACAAATATTTACAACCTTTTCAACAAGCTTTTTCGACCATTACTAGATCATTAGAGAAGACTTCGAACTCCTTGCCCTTTAAAGGCTTTAGGGATTTAGCTGCAGAAAGATGAAACCACACACAGTTAATAGAGCTACCACTCTGTTCCCATACTTCAACCGCAGGTAGCTTTTAAGAATCAATTTGTGGTTCTGGACAAATGGGCTGGACTAGAGTGGGAACCCAGAACAGAAGCAACTGAAAAGGGAGATAAGCAATTAGAAAGTTCTAGTTGTTGTTTAGAATACTACTCGATTATATTAGACCTCTTTTAAATTAAAAAAAATATATGTTAAACTATAATATAAACATTCTTATTATTTGTGCTTCCTATCTGAATAATTGAAAATGCTCTGCAATTAGATAATTTAGTAATTTGCCTTTATAAATAATCAGTGGGCCAAGATGATAAGAGATCTGCTTGAAATGCTGATGTTACTCATTTCTCTGCCTCTCAGTGGTTCAGCAGGTTAGAAACATGGTGCTTACTTACAAGATCACATTTATTCTTTCAGCAGCTCATGAGTTCCCAAACCAAAAGCCTAAAGCCTCACAGAGTGGGGAGAGGGGGTATATTAGACCTCTTTTAAATTAGGGGAACTCTGTACCACCATGTGCTCATTTACTGTAAACTTAAAACTTTCCTAAAAAACAAAACAAAATCTTTATAGGGAGCCAGAGTTAAGGTTACAAATACATCTGAATGATTTCTTTATTTTGTGTGCTGATATCCTGGATTCCACCCCTTTCAAGCACATATAACAAAGGCCACCTGCCCTCATTCTGCCCCCCAACTGTTTGCTGGTTTAATTATGGAAGGAATATGCTGATACAGTTGGGAAGAAATAGCTGGACAAAGAGACCCTAACGGTTGTGAAGGAAGAAAGGAGGGAAGACCAGCATGGTTCTTCGGGCTCACTCCTCAAGAGGAGAGCTAGGCGGGGCGGGCTGGCATGGCATGCAATGAAAGAGCCTCTGAGAAAGGCCCTTGCACAGAGACTCAGTCATCCTCCTTGCCTTCTGTAGTAGAGCAAATGGCCACATTCATTGGAAGTAAAGAAGAGAAGAGCATTCGGCCCTGGTATGTGGAATGTTTAGGCATCTGAGACAGGGCAAACAAGACTAGCACATGGTTCTGTGGCCCTTGGCTGAGTCACAAAACCCAGGTATTGCCAGACATAGCAATGAAGTGTATAGGACAGACTGCAGTTCGTAAGACACTCAGCCCTCAGCAATTCCTCTCCCCTGTCTGAGCAAAGGGAAGGATTGGACTGAGTGGCAGTTCCCACAGGGCATGGGGGGCAGAAAAATCAGTTTGTTACAGTAGGACATCCCTGCTCTGTCCCATGACTGGTATGTCTGGAGGGAAATCCCTGTTACATAAGTAATCTCTGAAATGATTCACTGAACCATACAGTGTTGTTAAAATGCTGCATCTTTTGTAATAAAAATCCCCATTAATTTTTTTAAAGTAAACTTACTTTCAGAGAGTCAGGTGATGCAACCCATCTCAGAAAGAGTGAAAATGGAAAGGCTCTGCCACATCACAGGTTCCTCACTTTCCAGTCCTAGAAAGACTTTTCAGGGACGACAAACCAACTGGACTTAAAATCCTGAGATGCTGCCTCTGCTATGTGTGCATTAGTTGGCCTTGGGCAAGAAGCTTCACTCCAAGGTCTCCTTTTTAAATGTCTATTATATGAGGATAGTATCTTCCCAGGAGCAGCTACCACATCTATGTGCCGTTGGTGGCACTTTATCAACTGTGTAAATATGTACAGAATGCTAAGCTGCTGAGGGTAGAGCTTAGGATGTAAGATGCCGCTACCTAAACTGGGACCTTGAATCTTTAGGATGATTCACAGAAACTGCTCAGAAATGTCAGTTAATTCCATTTCCCCAATCCTGAAAGCCTAAAAGGGCACACAGCATGGTGATTTCCTATCATGAGTCAATGTGGAGGAAGCAGCATCTGGGGGTTTCCATAGTTCTTGCACAGTTCAGGGGTGTGGGGATAATACTGGGATTCCCAGCAGCAACCCCAGGAGAAGAGATGCAGGATTATATATGGTGCCTGAGCAGGACAGCCATAAACTTTCAATATATGAGAGGCGATTTCCTGACCCAGACATAGTGGTTGATGCCTAATTTCTATCTTATTCTTCCCCAGATAAAATTAGGATAACAGAAATGCCAAAGCTGTAGACCAAACTCTAAGCCCCACTCTTCTCAAGATTCTCTGCTATGCCCC